AGAAAACAAATTTACATTCCGCAAGAGTAATGACCTCAGTTCTTCGGTCTGTTGCTGGCTCAGTCCTTTGCTTGATCTATAAAGCAATTCTTTGAGAGCTCTTGGTAATTCTTTTAGCTGTTTTGTTGGTGCTTGATGTAATTCTTCTACTATGCCATCAACTGGTGTCAAAGAAGAAAGTACGTTACGGACCAAAATCGGCCCTGTCCCCAAATCTGATGAAGATATTTTTGAAACATGCCTAAGATGTCATCTTTTTAATTCAGCTTAATTTTTGTAATTATCTCAACTCAATTTTCCTACAACGCTATCTGAATATAGATAGTTTCTTTGGAAAATAACACTATGACCTTATGACGTCAACCTAGCGACGCTACGCAAATACGAGGGTTGTTGGAAAGTTTGTTATATTACTTTCAAGAAATATTAAAAAAAGAACACATTTTCTCATATGAAATATTTATTTGAAGTTTCATTCCATTCGATTTAACAGAAATCAATTTACTTAATTTTTAAAATCAACATGTTTGGTATCCCTGGAGCTACATTAAAACGTCAAAAACATTGCGTCATGGTGTTTTCAAAAAAAAAAAATCTCCCTTTACATTTCACTCAGTTTGGTCCAATAGCCACTTATTAAAAACGTTTCTCCATCAATTTTATTTTATATTGCTAACAATCGTACCAGTAGAATTTAATTTTGTTTGTCCATGTTTTATTTCTTTTTTATTTTACCGCGTAACTGTGCATTTACAAGATCAGCAACTGTGAAGCGCCTCTCTCTTTCCATGACTTTAGCAACTCAAAGTTTCTGTTCAGATTTTTACAGATAATCCGTTTTCTCACAGACCGCCCTTGTCTGATACAGAATTTTAATCATTCGAATACAGCCTCTATCATTTATACACATATGCACAAATCGCTTTTGACATTTGCTTCCTACAATATTTCAGAGTTTATTATGAAGATTTCCAGAGTACAACACAAAATTTTGTTATATATATACCTTTAAAATTGGTTCCTATATAAATCTACATGTATACGCATTCCTAATGTTGTACTGAGCGGTCATAAAAAAAAAATCGATGTTTGGCCGCGGAGTAAGATATTTGACCTGTCGATGAGAAATTGGACCGCTTACGTTAAAATTGTGGGCGGGATCAGCTAAATTTCATTTGCAATCGTTGGTGTTCGACAGTGACAAAATTGACCAATTTTAACCGCAGTGTGATTTAATTTACATCATGGAAGCCTGCACAATATACAAAGGTATAACAAAACATTTATTGACTAGGTTCTCGGGCAAAATGCGTTTTGTTGACCCATCGAACGGATAAATAACGGCCCCAGAGTGAGACAAACAGTTTGGTTTTGGGGTCCGACAATATACGTACAAATAAAAGATTAATTTATATGATTTTAAAACGAGAGAGAGAGGGGGGGGGGGGCAGAGTGAGAGAGAAATGCGTAACGTATATTTAATAGTACGTTTATTATAAGTATCCGATTATTCTAATTCAAGCAAGAGTTTGATTTTTAAAAGCTAGACTATTTTTTATGCGAATTACTTGGTTTGTTTTTAAGATTGCATTAAGACTTTAACACTATTTTATAAATGTCAAATTCCCTATACAAGTTTATGAGAAAGCATTAAATATATTTACGAAAAGTATTTGAAATTTTAATTAATAGATAACATTGAAAGGGCAAATTCCCCAGCCCATTCTCGCGACGCCATTCACGAATTTATCTAAGCAAAGTGTGTTTAAAACGTTTCTGTCTTGTCATCTGAAAAAAAGTTTCCAAATTAAAAAAAAAAAAAACTGAAAAAGTACTGTCATTCGATTAATAATTTTATATGTCTCCAGATGGTTCTTCTCAAATGCACGAATCAAGTACCCCCCCCCCCCCCCCAAAACAAGCTGTAGCACTTCTCTTGGATAGTTGGCATGGGCAACCTTCTATCGAATTTTCTTTAGCAACTTATTAAGGCTTTTTTCACCAACTTAGTATAGCTTCTCAAAAAATAAAATAAATAAATAAATAAATAAAAAATAAATAAATAAATAAATAAATAAATAAATAAATAAATAAATAAATAAATAAATAAATAAATAAATAAATAAAATAAAAATAAACATGTATAAACATTTACTTTTTTGAAGAACACTTTTACGATCTTTTTTTTTAAATACGTAAATATAATTATAAATAACTACTGTTGCTTGAAGTTTCGACTTTGTTGCTTGAAGTTTTGCTCAATATGAGAGCCTATCTTTAAGTAAGTATTGTGATCCTTTGATACCAAACCCATGGAGAGAATGATTATAGGCACTTTCAATCCATTTCAGGTAGAGCTCTCGCGCCGTGATCGGAAGGTCGTGTGTTCAAATCACGGCTGCGACCGACCTAAGTCGATAAAAAATAGGTAGCAACTGTTCCTTCGTCAAGCGCTCGGCACTTTGAAGTGAAAGTTGCGGGTCTTTCGGATGAGACCTAAAAACCGAGGCCCCGTGTCACGGTAGGTTCAAACTTTTTTCATGTTTTTTTTCACAACCAATTTTCCCCCAATACACTAAATTCCTAAACTTTATCTATGCTACAGCAAATGGGGGGGGGGGGGGAGTAGTCTTTCAAAGAACATTTTCAAAGTTCGGAAAAAAGTGGGAAGGGGCCCTGCGTCCCTGATTCTTCGTGCCTGATAAATAACTTGTTTTCAGACTTGTCCACACTGACAGATAATTTTGTTCCACAGTACTTATATTGTGTGAAACACTTACACTGCCATAATGGGGTGAAAGAGTTTTCTAGACAGGTAACATTGTGAAAAATGAACCCATCATCCAATACAGCTTTTTATTTTTTTTTTTTTTTTTTGTCCGAAATTCCTTTTTGGACCTTTCTGTCGCTTTCTCATTCCAGTCTTCTTTTAACTTCACTGGATCCTCGACAGATAAGAAATTACAACTCTGGTATATGTGGAATGATCTTAAGTAGAATATACGGGTTAAAAATAAAGAGCCATAGCTGCCTCTCAGACGACACGGCTGACTCAAGAATTTAAAAGGAAATCACCTGATTCTATTTATAGATATACCTTTTCAATTCAAGATCAAACTATGTAATATGATTTGAGGACGAGTGTTATATTTTCGTAGTTGCATGTATGTCAAATGACAATCATTTAATTTGTTCAGTACTCAAATTCTGAGACAAAAGATTTATAAAATCAATAAAAATAAAACAAGTAGCTATGAATTTGCAAACTTTAATAAAATAGTTTAGGACTGTTTTTTCCCGAGCTACTTTCAAAGTTTATATTGTGTATATTATAACTTTCTGAACTTATGTATATCATAAAACGTAATAAAGAAAAACGTAGAAAAGATACACAAAGAAAAACAAATTTAAGAAAGCATAAATGGAAAAATGTGGGACGAACTCGCTATCACCATATTTACATTCCAGCAATCATACCATTGCGCCAACGAAGTCAATGACTTTGAATGAATAAATTTAAGACAGATTGCTAAATCTTACGATTATATGAGAAGAAAAATTGAATATATATTTTCATCATTTTCAATATGAAGACCACCTTTTAACCAAAATTAGAAGTGCAGTCATATCCGAATAAAATCCTTCAAAAGTTGTTTTTTTTCTGGTCAAGGGTGGTCTTTGACAACAGTTTGTCATCTTTAGGTGGATACCTCAATATTTACTATATACTCCATACAAACTGGATAATTTTCATATTTATCATATGAGGAAACTATTATTATTGAAATATCATTAATGTGTGGTATGGTTTTACGCATGTATAAACTAAGATTGTATGACAAAATTTTGGTTAAACAATGGATTTAAGGAATCACTAGTAGAGTAGGCGAAAATACCTATCAAATGCGCTGTGGCTCTTTTACTAGGTGAAATATGAGCCTTTGTTTTTTATATTGCTTTGCATAATATTAACGGCAATGTCTACAATATACAGATGCAGATGCAACACGCTTATATTGTGCGTGTATTATAAAATCTAAAAATATATTGAAACATCAACAGTGCACTTGTATAAATGACTGAAAACATAAGACTTCAGAATATTAGTTAATCTGATCAGTCCTGACCAAGAGCATCCAAGAGATTGGGAATTCCCCCCCCCCTTTCCAAAAAAAAGGTGTTGCAAGGGGACCTATTGTGACGTCATCTTTGAGTTTATTGCGTAATTTATTTACATACATGCAGACGTCAACTAGGCCGTTTCAGTGGCAAGATGATATAAAGGCTAGGATTTAAGCATTTTCTTTTCTGCAATAATACTTTTAGTGATTTCACTTATCAGCTGAACGTTCTTATTTTATTGCTTTAGTATAATAAATTGATCTCTTCCCTTCTTGTTGGCAACATTTATCAAGTGTAAGGCTTGGTTGTTTAAAAAGATATCGTAATTTCTCAATTCTATAAAACATTTTTTTAGTTTTTATGCTATTTTCATGACAAATATATTTGTATGAGCAATATAAATATGGTCAATCTATGATAAATTTATTTCTTTAACATTATTACACGAAATACACCATTATTATTGCTCCTAGATAAGAACTCGCCTCTCGACTAACTTGGTATCCGCCACCGGAAATAGTCATGAAATGTCAAAATTAACAAACTGCACATTCCTCGAGCAAATTCTTACTATTATTTTTGCTTGTCTTTTATCAAATTATTTTCAAATATATATGTTTTATTTTGCTCGAGGGGTGTGCACTACTTCAATTTTGGGAATTTGTTGTAAAAATAGTGGAAAAAATAGCAATTTCCGGAAAGAACGGATGTTTAAATCCCGTGAATACCTCTAATCAACGTACTTGCGAAATTTTGTTATGCATATATCAAAACTACATGTACCAATCTTCTTCTACATGTACATAGTAGTTATATTTTTGCAAACTTGTATATCAAAATACGAAAAATTGTGGGCCTTCGAATAATACGTAACGTACTTAGTTCTTTGCAACAACAGTTCCACTATGAATGACTTGTACATCTGGACTAGGATTCATCAGTCGACAAGGAACGGAGTTTCGGTTTGTGACAAGCACCTTGCCAATTATCCCTCTTTCAGATTTCAGAAAATCTTTATCGCCTTCTAGTATCCCTAAACCTCTTGGCAATGGCTCCTTGTCAGGTATGCACACGTTGCAATTCGTGACAATTTCAGACCTAGGTGGTATATGAATGGTTTTTGCTACAGCAACACGGTAACATCCAATATGACCCGCTTTATTCAAAGGTGAGGGTTTCCCATTTACTTCCAAAATCTGCGTTGTTAAATCGACAACACATTTGTTTCCGATCAAAAAGTCTAACCCCAAAATTACATCGACAGTCAACTCTGTAAGAACAACTTCGGTGCTATACAAAATGTTATTTATAAGGATTGGGACATTGAGTTTCCCATAAATCGTAAGAGGGTCATTCCTTGCTGATAGCACTGGCTGGCTGACTTTCTTTAAAGTTTCAAGTGAGCTGTTGCTTTCGAGAATTTTATCATATACATGTTTAGCCAAAAGAGACAGTGTAGCTCCTGTGTCAACCAATATGTTTAAATCAAAACCATCAATAGATGCTTTAACAAAAATACCAGCATCCCCAGTAATCCCTACTTTTTCAGGAGACTCCGTTTTGCATGACTCTTTTGTTTGTTTTGTTCCTCTCTGCACTGCATGGTTTTTATTGACATTCTGGGGATTCTGTTTTGAGCGACATTCCTTTTTCAGATGTCCCCTCTTGCCACAGTTATAACAAGTAGCGTTTTTCTTCCATTCAGGTTTCTTTGTCCGTTTGTCTTTTTGTAAATCACCATGTTTTTGTTTTGGCTCTTAGAGCTCTTCAACAATGGACATCATCAACTTTTGAAGATTCAGTATGGTATTGTTCACCTCTTTCAACTCTACTGTTAATTCATTCCTAGATGTGTCCTGCCCAACAGCTCTCAAAGATGAATTCACACCTCCTAATCTTTGTTCAGTTTTCAGGAAAGCCTCTAGTTCGATTGCATTTCTTACAGCCTCATTTAAATTCTTTGGTCTGGCTTGCTTGATTCTCAACCGAATATCAGATATAGCTAAGGCATCAATGAAATGGTCCTTAGCTAGAGTTTCCTTTACATCTGCAGGTACTGTAGGATATGCCAAGTTCACAAGACGCCTGATTTGTTGACCAAGCTCTGGCAAGGATTCTGACGCTCTCTGTCTTCGCTCTCTCAGTTGAGCTCTATACAAATCTACTTGATCTGGTGGAGCAAATCTATCACTTAATGCAGATGTCAGCTCTTTGTAGCTCATTTCTTTACCATCTTATAAATTTCCAAGAACACTTTGAGCACTGCCTCTTAGAGATACGGACAAGTACAACCCCTTCTCTGTTTCGTCCCAATTACCTAACTTTGCACATGCTTCAAAATGTGATTTATAATCAAGCCATGACGTGGAACCATCATACGTTGCCGGCTTTATGTTTTAAGAATGTTGACGGTTCCTAGATTGTAGAATTGGGCTTGGATCACGGGTACTGGTAGCGTACTGGACTCCTGTGCTGGGAGACGAGGCTCTTGGCTTCCTCCTAAAGGTTACGTTAGACATTGGATCTTCACGTCTTCTTCCGGGCGTCTCCTGTTCATTCTTTTTCAAATAAGGGCTAAGGTCGAATTCATCTTTCATTGATTCCTTTGCAGTGCCGGAACGATCCCCGAATCTTACAGATTTTCTCCTGGCTCCAGTTTGTTCTTCTAATTCAATATCATCCACAGCATGTGAGGTTGCAAACCCTGAGTCTGTAACCTGACTATTTTTATTTGGCGTTCTTACAGGTGTGGAGTGGCTCCTTTGTGAAAGCTCCATCTCATATGAGGCAATCTGGCTCTCGAGCTCTCGTATCGTAGCATTGACCTCATCAATATTCATGATTAATGATATTGTACAAAGAAAAAAAAGTCAATAAAATACTACCAGGTAGTATCCCACCACTGCCACCAAAAACTTGTAGCGTGAAACCTTATAATGTAATTAAAAATAGCAGAGGCGGCTGAATTCCCCCAGTTAACTTTCTGAGGACCTGGCAGGTTCAAAATATACAAATATATGATCAAGCAATATATACAGATAAATGTTGAGACTACCTGTCTTTAATCAATTATATACAATAAATTAAAGTTATGTTGGCTCTTGAGCGATCGGCTCTTACAGCTCGGCTCTTACGGTTACCGGCTCTTACAGCTCGGCTCTTTAAATACCGGCTCTACAGCTCTTTTCTTTAATACTGGCTCTTACAGCGCAGTTCGGCTCTTTATAGCTCTTGCTGGCTCCCACAGTCACTTTCTTAATAACAAACAATATCTAAAGCCAGGAAAGACTTGTTCAGTCACATCTAAAACTTTAAATATTTATTTATTATCATTAACTAAAAGTTACCTCTGGTCATTAATGGTCCGCCGCTTGTGTTTCCACTTCAGCATCAACTTCGCAATTAACACAGCTCTGCCGCTTCACTTGTATTTATACCCTTGGCCAACAACGCCATCTAGCAGAAACATGACTAAAATACCGCTTGTATCGGAATAACTTTTCCCGGATTGTCTCAAATACAGTGCAGGTTCATTGATTGAACTTGATTGATAATTGAATTGGTTACGTTCATGCACTTGTGACCTACCAGTGCATGGTCCGCCCGATTTGGGTCGTCACATTTGTTGTATTGATTGTTTACTGTGGGGCAGTCCGGTGGTAGCCCCAGCAAATTGATCACTTGATCACTGCTTCCAGAAGCGCCAAATTAAACAAGCAAAATAATATCTCTGTTGTTTGTTTGATTTATAGGGAATCTGAGATAATTCTTTTTACATAGATATTACACTAAAAATTGCGATTATCAGTGAAACATCCACTACGAATAAATGATATTACTCGCATATTTCAAGAATTCTTCGGAAAAATCAAGATCTTCCTCATTAAAATGTTTCATATTTTGTACAGACTGTCCCTATGATATGGAAAATATTGACATGTTAATCTAAAGAATAAAAATGAAATAAGTGGTAAATTATTAATTGATTAAATCGAAGTTGTGATTATCAATTCATTAATGAATATATATTTTTTTTAATTAAGAAACTGTTTTATGATCAAAATTCCACGATGCGGCTCAATCTTCAACGGACTAGGGTGTAAATTCAACACCTTTGGTCTCAGTATTCAACGTTAAAATATGACCCCTCGGGTTATAATTTTTAACCCGGGTCAAAATTCCACGTTGCACTGGAGCTTTTGTATTGTAAGTGAAATTTATTACAAGCTTTTATACTCTTTACTAGCTGTTTATTGTGTCATTGAATTAGTTAGAATTGTTAGTGTTGTTAGTATATTTTAAGTATATCACGACTTTTTGTCTTCTGAATACCAGAAAAACCCTTCACATGTTGCATCATCTACAGAAGAAAAGGGAATCGATGTAAAGGTTAAAATATGTATACAATTTGAAGCTTTATTATTGACAATCAAAGAATATTATATTTTCAAAAGAAATTTGTGTAACAATATATACTGTCATTATTATTGCTTTAACATATATTTGCCACAATATCTATGACAACGTTTTCTTCATAAAACATCATTATTCTAGCATTCTCCTAGAACAATACATCCATAACTCTATTGAAATTCAATGCTGAACATGTAAAAATTAAAATTTTCAAAATGGGTTGTAATAGATTTTTAGGATATTGATTTATTCATGTATGTTTCAGTGATTTACAGTATGGTGTCACATGATACGGATCCTAGGGTATTTTCAGAAATGGTCCAACTTCATCTTATGATAAAAGTATATTCTTACATGTAAATATAGATGAAAGATGGCTTAAAAGGAAAGCTTCATATGTGTTTTATTAAATATAAAAATGTTGTTTTATAATCTGTTTTACAAATTCCCTATATAATAGTATCCTGAATCTTAATTTGAAATAGACTTTCAATATAAACGTAAATTGCTATAAGGTGAGGACAGAGGCATTTCAATTGTTAGAAATATCTAATACGAGATAAGATGTTTTTTTTACTGGCTACATGTACCAATACAGTTTTTCATAGTTTGAAGTTTACTGAATGTTCTAATTACCATTTTATTTTTGCATGTCAAAATGTTGGCTTGAAACTTCTCCAGTAAACTGTAATTTCACCACTTGTCCTAATTTTATGGAAGACTTTGTCTTGGGAAATACACATGCTTATCATGTGACAAAATTTCTGGAATTTTTCAGAGTTCAAGTTCTTTTGGTAAAATTTGATAGTGTATTACGTGCCATAAAATTGAAAGCAAATCGCGAAATTGTTTATGTATATATTATCCAATCAGTGTTTAAAAACAGCATGTGCCTGCTATATTCAATCGTCTACAGAGCTTACGATTTTCTTAACAATTACAATTTCTGTTCGTGTGTGTGATGCCTAGTTGCCTTTTTCATTCTCAGAAAGGTTCTAGCTTTAGTACAGTAGAGCGCAAAAGAAAAAAACAAATTATGATGTAACTTTTGTGATAAATATTTTAGAAAGATATCAATTTAAATATTTGAATCATTTTGCATCTCTGATAGTATTATTTGTGGAACAAATAGGGTCATTGGAACTATTATGCGAATAAAAAGTACAGAGATCATCAATTCAAAAATTTCAGAAGTTTTACCGACATAATAAAACGAAAAAAATATCCTTGGATTTGTGCCGATCAAGAATTCTATTTAAAGAACTGATGTGCAGTTTATATGTTAAGATAGCTTTCTTGATGGAATTTACCATGCCTCTTTCATATTATCCATCTTAGGGATGTTGAAAGGAATTTAAACTTTTAATATAAAGATGTTTTCTTTCTTTCAGAAGTATAAAATATGATGTATAGAATATGATGGAAAACTACTTTTCATTTTATCGTTCCTAAGAAAGTTGTAATGAGTATACTTGAATCACCTTTGTCCCCATGCCCGTTTCTCGATCCGCCTGACAGTCTTTCCGTCGTACATGTATATAGACACATGTAAATGCATGTAAGTTCAAAACTTTTGAAAAGGTATCCAGTCAAGAATTATGCAGATCTTAATGATTCTGATGAGGAATATTATTTTCAGATACCGGTACCATGGAACAGTAGAGCTCTAGAAGATACTGAACATAGTATCAGGGAAGAGAGAGCTGAGGAAAGAGCAGAAGATAGAGGAGAAGTCGAACTAAAACCAGTGAGGGAACCCCGAATATCCCTGCACCCACACTACTGTAATGATTTTCCCCTTACCCCCCCCTCCCCCCCCCCAAAAAAAAACTCCTGACGTTCCCCTGTCAGTCCCTGACATTTACTAGTCTCTCCTTGACTTTCTTCTATGACCTCCTGTCGTTGTCCATGGCTACCCTGTCTACTACCTGATGTCCCCTGACATTGTCCCTGTTACCACTGCCTAACCCCTTTGTCCCCTGAAATAATCCGACGTCCCTGTCAACTCCCTGATGTCCCCTGACTAAGCCCCTTCCATCCTGTCCACTCCCTGTCGTTCCTTGACATTCTTTTTGACCCAGAAAAAGGGTTGAAATATATTTTTATTGCTATTTAGTGGTGAAAAATACCTAACTCTAGGCAATTCTCCATTTTTATGAAAATATAAATTTTGTCACTAGTATTTGTTTGAAATATCCTTAGTAATTCTTTCTTATTAGGATTGTATTGATTGCTCAAGTTTGGAAGTTCTTCAAATCTTCAGGAGAATAAATGTGAGTTTATTTGAAAAGAATAAATAACCAACTCATTGCGTCTTATGTAGCATCATTTATTTATCAATTTATTCATGCACTTATTTATTTACTTATATATTTGTTTGTCTATTTCTTTACTTATTTATTTATTCAATAATTTATTTTTTATTTATCTATTCATATATTTGTCTATTGATTGATTGAATTATTTATTTATTTACTTAATCTATTTATTTATTTCTCTTTATACATTTGCCTTATTTAATTATAAATGAATAAATTAATGAATCTATAAATTGATTTATTTTATATTTTTATTGATTTATCTGTTATTATTTATTTTATTTGTTCATTATTTTATTATTTATTATGCTTCAAACTATTTTTTACAGAATATTCCGCTTACTTTTAATTCTTTTAATTTTATGATAAAAAAAATGGGATCAAGATTATTGTCTCATTACACACAATCTAAATCCATAATTTGTTGGGACGTGGAGACCGGTCCTTCGGATGAGACCGTATAAACCGAGGTCCCGTGTCGCAGTAGGTGC